GTCCTATGTGCCTACTGTATAAGGCAAAGATCTACAAAGGCCTGCATAAAATCTACTTTGTGACTGACCCAGGAATATCTAGAATCTAGAGGTATCTGTCCCCTTGGAATTTTCAGAAGGAAGCAGTCAGACCAACTATTATTTATTTTTTCTTTTTCTTTTCTTTTCTTTTCTTTCTTTCTTTCTTTCTTTCTTTCTTTCTTTCTTTCTTTCTTTCTTTCTTTCTTTCTTTCTTTCTTTCTTTCTTTCTTTCTTTTTATGACATCATTTGAAAGCCTTTCTGACCTTAAAGGTTCAGTTCCAGAATCACATTTGGTTACCTTGAGACTAGTCATTCAAGGTCATTCATTTATTATGAAAACTGCTTCCCAGTCACCAGTTTATTGAGACTTCATTAATAATTGTTTTATCAGAGATTTTTTTTCTACCACTGCTCATTTGCATGTGTAGAATTCATTCTGTGAGTGTAAACAAAGAATGGATTTCTTTGAGAGTTCAAGTTTAACTGGAATGACACTTTTTTCTTTACCTTGACAAATTGGTCCGTTTCTGGGACATGCCCCTGAAAGAACTGAATATTGTGCCTTTAAAAGAGTCCATGACCTGATGCATTTATAATCCCCGAATTCCATGTTTCAGTCCCATGTCTCAAAGCCTTGCTCTTCTCAGCCCTATTCACATTTGCTTTGTTTTACTTATTTTTTTGGTAGCAGGGATCGAACTGGGGCCCTCGCATTTGCAAAGCAGGCAGCAGAACCACTGAGCTAAATCCAGAGCCCTCACAATGGCTTATGTTTGACTTTTCTGTGTTTAAAAAGAACAAGATTTATTATTACTAGTCAAAAGGTATCAGGTCCCAGTATTTTAACAAAAAAACCACACATTTTCCAGAGTGAGCAATTCTCTGGCCACGCTGCTGTCTTGCCAAAGCAGTTACTCCAAATGCTGCTTGCATTTATTGAGAAATTGTCAAGTTATCTAAGGGCTTCCACCTATTAGCTCATGTGATTCCTGAAACACTCCATTTGTCATGATGGGAAGGAAAAGACCCTCCGTCATTTGTGCATTCATGTAATGCTCATTTATGGAGCACAGCAGACACTCCAGAGACTGGGATGTGCCATATACAGAGACTGAATATGCACTGGCGCCCAACATAGCCATCTCCTTTTTCTCAGGTAGCTTAGAGAGTGGTGGGTCATTGATTCCCCCTGGCAAGCAGGTATCCCAAAAGGGTTCTGATGCCCTCTTTCACTTACCACTCATAAACTATGAGAAAAGTCTTATTAGACTCACTTTGTGGATGGGGTAACTGAAACTACCAGAGGTTAGGTCATCCAGCTGATGATAAAAGCAGTCAATGCTAGGACACGGGTTTTCAAAGTCCAGTGCTGCTGAGAGAATCCTGGCTTCTTTCTGAATAGTGTGATCTCATGTTAACACGGCCCTATTCAAGCTCTCTTTCCAATTTCCCACATCTCATGGTTTGGCTTAAGAAGGTGGTTTGTGTAACACGTGGCAGATACAGAATGCCTAAAATTAGTCGCTCAGAGGATTTTAACCTCTATACAGGCTCAAAGGAGAGGATGGACGGACCTTGGTGTGACCTGTGGTGCAGGTAGGGTATGTTTGGAGTGGAGCTCTGAGAGCTCGGTAAGTTACAGGCTCTGTTATTAGAAATGAGTCACTTGTGGGATGGGGCAAGCCAGCCTCAGTCCCTTATTAAACTATCGGGAAGCAGGCAGGCAACACACTCCCCACTGGGAGAATAATCCTATTAATAATCACTAAAATTTGCATGCCCCTCTACAGTTTGCAAAGCACTCTCAGACCTGTGTTCTTCATTAGCAGTATTGCTTGCTGGACTAGTTGCAAAAAGGAGCAGGATTTGAGAGTACCTCATTTAGCGGTTTTTATGTATCTGTAAGAGTAAAATCCTTTGTCAAAATGAAATCTTTCACAGTACTTTAGTATAGAAAACAGATGGGAGTGGAACTTCTGTGGTGAGACAGGGACAGGGGAGGGGATAGCCCACTTTCTCAAGCCTTTGCACTGAACTGTGTGACCTCTGTCTGGTTCTTAGGGCTCTCCGAGGAATCCCAGATCCAATGTCTGGGAAATATTATTTCCCCTACTTCGACCCCCTCCTCCATGAAAAGAAAGCAGAAATCCCTGGAGGTCACAGGAGGTGTGCTAGGCCATTCCTCATCCAGTGCTCTCCTCCAGGAAGCCCGGGAGGGCTGCTTTCTCACATAATTAGAGCACGAGGCTCTTTCTCACCTACTTAGAGCCTGAAGCTCTACCCAGCAGACAGCTTGCCCCTAGTTGTTTCAGGAAAATGTCCTTTTGGTCACCACGAGCCTCAAAGACAGCTCTTCCCTGTTACTGGCTGCTTTCTTAAAGTGTTTGCTCATCAGGTAAAAGTTCAGAGGCACTATCTTCCTTTTTAGGCACGTAATCCTTGGAATCCAGGCACGCCAGCCACAGAGAGGTTAGGTAGTAGGTTCAGACAGTGATTTTCAGCACCCAGAACCCTCCATGAAAATGCAAGGCACAAGGCTCTCCCACCTCAAATATTTACACTGGAGAGATGGCAGGGCTGTGGATATACTAAATACCACCTAACTGCATACTTTGGAATGGATAAAATGGTAAGGTTTGTGTTATGCTTATTTTAACATAATAATAGCTTTAGAAATTTACATTGGCCCTTTATTTCCTGCAGAACCAAGTTCAGTCTCCCTGAACAGTTCACAATTTGGCCCCTGTCTCTCTTGCTTCATATCTCACTGTCTTTCATTGAATCTCTTCATCTGATCTAATATTCAAGCCTTCTGCTGTACTTGAAGGTTCATAAACTTCCTTCAGGTTCTTACTATCTGCATCTATATACATACATTCAGCGCTCTGTATATCCAGGACTTCCAAATTATTTTATATATTCCTTAGTGTAGGCATCTATATAGATATATCTAGTGCTTAATATGTGTGGGACTTTTGAGTCATTTAATCCTCACCAATTCTATGGAGCAGTTACTGTTAGTGGTCTGTTTTAAGCTTGAAGATATTGAAGTACATAAAGGCTCATTATCTTTTCAGAGTCATGCAAGCAATAGGCAGATACCGGAATCCTTGCTATTCCTCACCACAGACTATCCACCTCTGGGTGGCCTGTCTCTTCTATTTCATGCGAGGAATCCTTTCTCATCCTCTGGGCTTAGCTCATGGATTGCCTCACTGCCTTTGGGAAGTTTCCTTGGTATTTTCCAGAAAAGAGTGTGACTCTCTTCTCTAGGACTACAAGACTGATAATACCTAAACACACATTCAGTCATCTCTTGGTATCCATGGTATCCAAGAGGGATTGGTCCCAGAACCTCCCCAAGGATATCAAAATTGTGGAAGCTCAAGCCCCTTATAGAAAAAATGTGTAGTATTTGCACAAAACTTACTTATCCTTCTATAGACTTTAAATCATCTCTAGATAACTTATCATGCACCTATTAATACAATGTAAATGCTATGTAAATCGTGCTTACACTACATGGTTCGGGCAATACTGATTTTAAAAGTCTGTATGTGTTCAGAACAGGTGTCATTTTTAAAGCATTTTCTATCTGCAGATACGAAGGCCCAATGGTATTTTGCAGCATGTGTCCTATTGTAAGTAACAGCCTGCCTCTGAGTCTATTCCCTTCCCCAGCATGAGGCCGCTGAAGACAAGGCCAGGTCTTATTTATACTTTGCAGTACCCTTGGGCCCTCCTTACATGTTTTATGAATGGATGGGTGGGTGCATGTCTGGGTACACTTTTCTAAATCTTTTTTTCAGTAAAACAAACTCTTACCTTCTCTGAAATTTTGCCATGGCTCCTCGAGGGTCGTGCCACAGCCACTGATAACCACTTTCATTTTCCATATATTTCATCAGTCCATTTGGATTTATTTTGAGGAGTTTATATTAAAAATAAGTACTGTTTTTGATCTCCAAGTATTAAATCAAAGCCTACTATAGTTAGATATGGAACGATGATTCAAATTACACGTTTTAATATTTTCAAAGTCAGAATACTTCCTCCAAAAAAGTGACAGTATCTGTCCCTCTTTAAGATTTATGGAGTAGAATGGCTACGGAGCAATCTATGAATGGGAGCAAGCAAGAAAGGATGGATGTGTGGGTGGATGAGAGGTTGGGTAAAATGAGGAGTGGACACGTGGATGGAATAGAGGGGGTGGATGCCACCAGTATGTGGGTGGGTACATGGAGGAGATGGTGTATTATGAGGGTTTATGAGAAGATGTGGGTAGAATGCGTGGAATGATGGATGAGAAGCTGTATGAATGGATGAGTGGAAGAGCTGGTGTTTGGATGGACGGATGGACGAAGGGATATGCGGTTGGAGTAGTAGATGATCGGCAAGATGGATGGAAGTGGGTGGATAATGGGAGATTAGGGCATGTGGACGTGTGAACCCTGAAGAAAGCAAGGAAAAGATATGTCGATAGGCAGGTGGGTGGATGGGAGTGTATTTGGGAAGGTGAATGGGTGTAATAGAAAGGCACCATCCTGGGAGCGGTGGGTGGACACATAGGATGGCGGAGCTAGCTGTCCCTAGCTTTCCCTGAGTAGGAACAAAAATCCTCAGAGCCTAATAAAATTCACTTCCCGCTGAGGGGGAAGAAGAATCAGTTCTCCCTAGCTCGCCTCACTCCCCTCCCTGGCCCGGAAAACACCTTATCCTGGGCAGGACTTCTCCCGTGGTCCCAGCTTCTCTCCCAGGATAACCAGCTGCTCGGGAAACCCAGACGACCATTCCTCAGCCTACTCAGAGAAATTCAGCGGGAAAGGAGAGGCCAGAGACTGAATCAGCCCCGGGGAGGTTTCAGGACAGTGATTCTCCGGCACTAGGCTGCCTTCCCCAGGGGGTGCGCGGGGGGTATAGGGGGTGCTCCGACGCAGGCGCACTCGGAACAGCACCCCCCCAACATTACAACTTCAAAACTTCCCAGGCGAGAGCAGCTGGGGCACAGGGGCATCGCCCAGGAGGGCTGGTGAGTCTTTAAACCGCTGCTGGCTGCTTAGTCACAGCCCCTCGCTTGGGTGTGTCCTTCGCTCGCTCCCTCCCTCTTAGGTCACTCCTATCCTCAAAATCTGCCGCCAACTTCCGAGGCGGCCTCATTGCCCAGCGGCCACCAGCCTCGGACAGGTCTGGTCCGCCTTCCTCGCCCCGTCCTCTCGTGTCCCCCCGCGTCGGGACCCTCCAGCTCCACACGCTTGCACTCTGGGTTCACTGGACACCATGGACAAGTTCTGGTGGCGCGCAGCCTGGGGACTGTGCCTCGTGCAGCTGAGCCTGGCCCAAGTCCAGATCGGTGAGTGCCAGCCGCGGCCGAGCGGGAGCCGGGGAGCCTGGGGTCCCGCGGGAGCCCCACAGTCTGAGCGGCTGGGGCAGGGGGCTGCAGTCAGGTGGGCGGCGAGCGACTTGGACTGGGCTCGAGAAAGGAAGGCTGGGATTTGCTCTAAGCGGTTGGAGAGCTTGTTGGTGGGAAGCGCCGTTTTGTTAAAGGGAAAAGAGAAAGAGAAGAAAAGTTTGCCGGGCAAGCTGCCCGCGCGCCGTTTTGGGTGAGGTTCCTAGAGCTGGAGCACATGGCAGAAAGTAACTGTACTGGGGTTGCGCGCAGCAGCCGGTGCTTGGACTAACAGGCTCCGATGCCCAAGGGCTGGCCGGGGCGGGGCAGAGGCTGAGGCAAGACGGCTGGAGCTGGGGCCGGGGCAGTAGCTTCCGGCAAGGTGGCCACGGAGTCACAAGTGTAAGTGTCCTTGGCCATGAGCTTTCCGAAAAGGCCTCAGGAAAGTCGCAAGGGTGGCTCCCCACGGAGCCTGGTTTCCGAAGCTCTGGCAGTCTGCTCCAGTCACTGACCACCCAAGGCTTGTGGGAACTTGAACCAGCTCTGCGGAGAAGCGCTGAGTGTCTCTGCTGTTCCCGCCTGGGGCAGGGGGACGCGTAGGTGACAGGGCCACCTGTTCAGTCCTTGCCACCTCCTGTTCTGCCAGTCAGTCTGGGGAAATCCAAACAGTAAGTGGCTCCCGTTCCTGGCACAGAAGCCTCAGAGTGGGAGCGGATCCTGGATACAGGGAAGTATCAGAAAACCTGGCACCGGGGCCCCAGGGTCTCATCCAAACCGCCTCGGTGGCTTTTGGTGGCTGTGGAGGGGAGGGGCCAAATGTGAGGTATTCCAGCATGGCTCAACTCCAGGCAATCCTTTTCTTTGTCTGTATATGAGCAGATAATTACATGGCCGATTTGCTTATCGCTAACAAAATTAATTTTTCTTTTAAGAAGTGCCAGCAGGGTCATTAAGACAGCTCAGTCTATGGTTAATTCTACTCAGCAGCATTTATTAAATCCAGCTCTGGGGAGATACCAAAAAAAAAAAAAAAAGGGCAAAACGCAAGCCAAACTCACATGAGGG